CAGCAGCAGCAAGGGGTTTGCTCTTAGTCCTGAGGGTGGTCTCAGGCTCAGGAGTGGGTGGGAATTATAATAGAAGAAAGCCCAGGAAGAGGGGAGTCTTCATTCAGGCTTGCCCTTAATATTTGTAATCACAAACAAAATGAACAGATTGGTACAAAACGTTTCTTTCCTTCTAAATGACGTGGAAGCCCAGGTCTAGATTCAGAAGTCTTGGACTCTGGGTTCCTTACCTAGGTTTGGCACTGTAGGAAAAGCTAGTGATGGGAAAAGCTAGTGAGTGGTGGTTTCATCTGCTGCATTATTATGGTCAGATATCTCCCGAGCAGCTTTAATCTGCCTTCAGCTGAGTGTACCCAGCCACATCTAGTCTTGCTCTCTTATTTTTATTGGAGCCACTCACTCCTTTCCCCACTCTCTCTCCTTCTTGATTCCAATCTGTGAGTTTTGCTGCAATCACTCCAGGCCTGAGGCTGGTTCCCTTCTTTTCTCATCCACAGCTCCATTCCCTGCTGTGAGAGGCCTTGTGTCCACACATGTGGAGACCCTGGTCTTCATGCATACCCACCTCCAAAGCTACCTGAAGACCTAGGGGCACACATATAGGTAGTTTGGCCCACCTTTGGCAAAGTGAACCCAGGAAAAGCTCCAGCATTCCCATCTGGGTATGGAATTCCAGGATCTTGGGTTCTAGGAGTGTGGCCCTGAAGGCAGGAGTGGGCTCCAGGTGGGCGTTCCTCTGGCACCTTGTCCGTAGAAGAGAGCCAGAGCAGGCCAGGGCAGCAGCTCCTTACCTTGGTGTGAGGGTGATGCTGTCTGTGTGTGTTCTTTTAGACACAGCCTCCAGAGGAGTAAACCCTGTATCTGTCACTGCCTGGCCTTAGCTAAGGCTCCGGGTGGTAACTCTGGCCTTTGATGGAGAATTCCCTAGTTGGAGAGTATGTGGATGATGAGAGCCCACCTTCTCCTGACTGCCCAGGCCTCAGGACTCCAGGTACAGCAGGATCTCAGTCCCTTCCCTGCACTTGGGCTTTGTCCTAGAGTCCTTAGGTCTATGTCAGTCCTTCTGGCATGGTGTCTCACCTCCTCATACTGACACATCACTGCTTGGGAACGTGCTCCGTGCTTAGGAGGGATCCAAGGCCCTGGAGGTGCGTACTGGAATTTCTTAGGAATTTTCTGGGAGTACTGGGATTTAAGGTTATTGTTATCAACGAGGGGGAGGGGCCATCCAGGATATGTCTAGAAGGGAAGAGAAGAGGGCTAGATGGCCAGTGTGGATTGTGGTGGGTTCCCTGGTGATCAAGACCACAGTGAGTAAGCTATAGCTCTGAGCTCCTGCAGTAAATCTGGCTGAAGGTGGATATACGGCAAGTGGACCAGCCCAGGGAGCAGCAGGTAGAGCAGAAACCTCCTCATTTTCTCTCCAGCTAGGAGAGAATGACTTTAGCCTACTCCGGAAGACTCTGGAAGGGTCAGAGTAGCCCCAGCCAGGGGTGTAGCTGGAAGCCAGCAGGGTGGGCTGACAGGCAGGAATGAGTGTGCCAGCATCTTGGGTAGGATCACTGCCTGAGGAGGGTGACTCCGGCCCTAGGACTTATAAGTAGACTGTTTTCTCCTTTCTGTACCACCCGGAAGCTGAAGATAACCTAGCAGCTACCTTCCCGTGTCCTAGGAACAAACTCCAGCCAATCGCTGCTTCTGTGGGAAGACCTGCTCTAGAAACCCCATGCCATACAGTCTTCAGTTCCTGCCAACGAGAGCTTTGTTCCCCGCTGCGGCCTCTGCCCTTTTGCCATTTCCTCTGGGGACCCAGTTGACCCTCACTGTGGACACAGGTTGGAAGACACTCAGGTTGGAGACCGAATCCCTGTTTACTCACTGGCACTGTTTATTGACAAGGAGACTGTGAGCCATTTGAGGGTAGGGACGGTAATGCTGCTATTTAGTCATCTCTGAGTCTCCATTGTGCTGACATGCAGCAGGTGCTTGGTAAATGCTTACTGGGAGAAGCAGATGGATGAATTTCCTCTTTTACAGATTCCTGCTCAAACTTTTTTTTTGATAGTTAATTTTATTTATTTATTTATTTTTGGTACCGGGGATCGAACTTAGGTCCTTGCGCTTACACAGCAGGCGGAGAAACCACTGAGCTAAATCCCCGGTCCAGATAGTTAATTTTATTAAACCAACTACTGCTTCTCACAAGATATCCTACCGTTCTTCCCCATCCCCCAAAGGAAAAGTTCTTGGCCTCAGCAGGGCTGATCATGCTCTATTGCTTGGGAATTGAAACTCAGTGAGGAGCCAGGGAACAGAAATAGAACAGAATTATTCCCTGGATGGAGGCCCCAGGGTCTGTATCCCCAAGATCCCTGGGTCATCCTTTCTGAGACCTGTCTGGTCAGTGTTTTCTTTGGATTTCTGAGCTACCCACAGCTTTCTAATAAATTCCATACTTGCTTTAGTTAAGGTTAAAGTTGTTTTCTGTTGTTAGCACCCAGAAAATCTTGACCAATACAATTATTTTCCTGTTATTCTTAAATATTCCAAAGAACATGAATTTTAAAATTGCTATCTGTGTTATATTCATTGGTTTGACTCATGTGCGTGCATGTGTGTGTGTGTGTGTGTGTGTGTGTGTGTGTGTTTTCCCAGTAATGGTAATACTACTTCCCATTAGTCTTTTCCTCTTTCTGGTTTTGATACTTTCCCTAAATAACATATGGAGAAAAACAGGAGAAGGAATTTAGGACAAGTCTTCTTTTTTTTTTTTTCCGGTACCGGGAATCGAACTTGGGACCTTTCACTTTCGAGGCAGGTGGTGGAACCACTGAGCTAAATCCCTGGCCCCAGGACAAGTCTTCTTTAGAGAAAGCATGGCTTGTTTCTGACACACCTAACACAGACTTCTCATTGGTCTGTTTTCTTTTCTTTGTGGTGTTGAGGATTGAACCCAAGCCTTCACACAGAGCTACATTCCCTACCCCTTTTTATTTTTTACTTTGAGACAGGGTCTCACTAAGTCACTGGTCTGCCTTGTCTCAGAGTTTATTAATTTGTTCTTTCTTTAATTTGTAATTCATTCTCAAAGTTGGAAGGATCTATGGATTATCTAGTGCAGGAATGGCAAGTAGGCTTCTTCCTGGCACTGACCTTTAATTGATTGGTAGAGGTAACTTGAGTATTGCACCTGGATTTGGTGGGAAAAGTATTTCATAATTAATTAGCTGAGTGTGACATGGCCCTGGGAATTGGAAGTCTGGAAATATGTGCCACATATTTGTTGTTCCTAATGCAAAAACCTTCTAGTCTGTGATTTTACTCTGAGATGATTTCTGCTCCTGCACCTTCATTGAAACAACTCATTTCATGTGTTAGAAAGTTTTTCCCTGGGAGTATGGTGCAGAGTGAGGGGCTGGGTTTATTTACATAAGCTGAAGCTAATTCTGACTTTGCCACTGACTAATGATGTCATTTAAGGGAATGACAATCTCTTTTCACCTAAGAAGTGGAAAAAACCTTGAACTGAGTAACCACAAAGTTCCCTTCCAGGTTTAACATCCTGTTATTTGAATGAGTCACTATCTGCCTCTTAGGGCCATGGTCCATTGGCCCCAGTTACACCGTCTGGACTTATGTGTTAGCTCTTCAAATATTTGAGGACCCACACCTCTCTGAGTGTTTTGTCCCAGGCTAACATGACCAGTCTCTTTACCCATTTCTCATACAATAAGGCTTCTGTTTTTTTCACCATACTGGTTATTCTCTTCTGGGTATTCAAGTTTTCTAGCATCTCCCTGAAAGAATGACTCCCAGAACAGGACCCCGGCTAGTAGTGCAGAGCGACGAACCCCACATACTCCGCCTGTCCCACCAGTACCTAGCCCAAGGGGAGGCAGCCACTACAGCTTCCCAGGATCTGAGGATAGTTATATTTTGTAGCTTGATAGGCCCTTCCTTCAGGCTGCATGCAGAATAGATGCAGAAGGCTGTGGAGTCAGTTTGGAAGGAGGCAGTGCTTCCCCAAGAGGTCAGCATGTAAGCAGAGCTGATTAAGAGAACCGGTAAGACTTCTTCATAAACATGGAAGGCAGGTTTGCCAGAGATGCCGTTATGTATCCGGCGGTCCTTTTTCTCTCCCCCACGTCCACCCCTTTCTCCTCCTCTTCCGCCTTGTCACCCTTCTTCCTTTTGTAGCTCTGGTGATGCCTCCTCCCCATGCTCTCCACTATCACGTCACCTGACACCTTTGTTTTAGTAGCTCTTGTGCTTGTCCTTTGTATAGAAGAACAAGTACAAAGGCTGTTGCTAAAACAAAATGAAAACAAGGAAAAGAAACAGATTTGGAAGGGGGCTCTGATCTGACTATGAGCTTAGTGGAAACAAGGATGTGAAGGTCATTTCAGGAAGAGTCTGGCACCTGGACTGACCCAGTTGAAGGGCTTTCTGTGCCACCTAAACCCTAGGGAAAAGGTGCTCTGAAGACCACAGAATTCCCGTGTGACATGGCTCCGGGCCATCTTTCTGTGCTCTTCCCCTTCCCTGTCCTCTCCCTTTGGACTCAGCCACCCTGGTCTTGTCCTTGTAAACACCAACAATGCTCCCATTTTGCACTTTCTGGTCTTTCTCTCTCCAGAGCACTCTTTGCTACTGCTCAAACGTCACCTCTTCAGAAGGTTACACCTTATCTAAGATGGACCCCTTCTCCCCAGCCTAGTCCTTTACTCTGATTTATCTTTCTTAACAGAAACTATCACCATCTAACATATTCCTTTATTTAGATGATCTAGAACACAAACTCCATGAGGTTCAGGCTTTGCTTTGCTCCTGATTCCCAGGTGCCTCAATGTGTACCCAGCATATGCTGAGCCCTTGACTCCTTTTGTGATGGTGCAACTTTTAAAGCATAAATCTCAGTGCTCATTAGCACAGAAATTGGTCTCACAAAAGCACTTTGTATCTTAATGGAAGGTTAACAAGTCTACTGGTTGACAAGTGAATCATTGGGGATGGGATGGTTTATTTGAGCAACTTGGTCTGTTCAAAGAGGCCCTGGTACAACTCATTACAAAAACCCCATCCATGCAAGGTCACTAAGGGTCACCTTGTGCAGGGAGAAATATGGGTCCCACTCTATTCAGAACCTTTCTGATCTGAGGTAAAGCCCTGGGGATCAAGGGAAAAGAGGTGGGGAGTGGTATCTCTCTGCAGAAATCATCGCGGCTCATCGCTAGATCTTTCTCACATTATTTTTAGGGACCTGACATGAGAAATGCCTCTAGATGGCAGGTGAGGGCAGACGTGGGCCTGTTCACTGAACAGGTAGGCTTGAGGAAAGGTGATAGGAGAGAAATGGGTGCTAGAAAGGGGTGAGGATTAAGGAAAGGCTGGTGACTGACAGGGGGCCTCTGAGTGAGCAGGAAGGGAAAATCCAGGAACAATCAAATGGAGGAGTGGTGATGTGAATCTGGAAACCAGTTGTGCTGATCATTCATCCAAAATGAAGTGACTTCCTGGGGCACCAGGAGGAAGGAGAAGGTCTGAGTACAGGACTGACAGGCCAAGGGGAGATGCTAAAGCCTGGCTGGGAAAATACCCCAAACTTGCCCTTGTTTCTTCAATGCTTCCTTCTTGTCTAGTATTAAGACTTGAGTAAGTCCCTGGAATAAAGTCCAGTTTCATTTTAGTGGGAAAAACCATGAGCTTTATTAGCTACTAATCCTTGAATGTAAATTTAGCTCATCAAGTTTTTTCCAGTGGCAATAAATAGTCTGGAGCTTTTCCAGGCGGAGTTGCTCAGTGGCAGAATGTATTTCACAGAGATGGCCACAGTAACATTTTCCATCTTGTGTCAAAGTGATATTGACAATCCTCCTGCTGAGCAGAAGATCTTTGTCTCCCCCCTTGAATTTGGGTAGATCTTCTGCACTTGCATCTGAAAAATCAATGTAGAAGCTTCTAAAATGCCTCAGCATCCTTCTCCATAATTTTCTTTCTGTGTAGATTTTCCTGGTTCTTCCCTCTTCAAGTCTCAAAGAGAAAGATTTCTTCTGAGCTCAGCTGTTTTTCTTAAAGTTGCTCAAGAACTTCCTGTTGGGTGGGACAATTCAGCATCTCCTTTCCTGGCCACTGTGCTAGGGAATGAAGAGAGAACCTCCTCAGATCCGTTAGGAAGTGTGAGGGTCATTGGAAATGGTGTCTATTAATTGGGCAGCTGCCATTCTGAGCATGGATGTCAAGCATCATTGGTTATCTATAGCTGGAATTTGTCTTAGAGGGGCTATGAACTCAGGGGTCCTGAATGCTTTTCAGGCCAGAAAGAGAAACCTTTGTCTTTCTCACCTACATGTATTCTGGACATTTCTTATCATCTCAAGCTGGGGCTGCAGAGGGTGATTCAGTTTTCTTGCAAGTGCTAATGTCCAGTGTCATTTGGAGCCCAGGACACAGGGTAGAGGCAATCTGTTTCTGTAGTCAGGTAACACCGCATGTGTAGTGGTGGGGGAGTGAATGCTTGGACAATCAATGTCCCCGTGGATCCTGGAGAGCTTTCAGTGTTCCTGAGGGAACATTTTGTTAGGCTCATCTGGCTCAGAGAAGACCAGAGTGTGTAAAGAGGGGAGAAAAAAAAGGAGAGGCATGAAAGTTTGTGCCAGTACTTTTTATCCTTCTAGTGTGATGGCTGTCCGGCGTGTTCCTTGGAGGTTGAACAGGGGTCTCCTGGAAGGTATGAGGCCTTTGGTGGTCTTTACTGACAGCTATGCTCCTGATCATCATGTGCTCGGACAGGGAGGCTCCTCAAGATCCAGCCATCAGCTTAGACTGTCCCTCACGGTACGTCCTGCACAAGGGGATTCTCTGTCTCTGGAGCTACTTCGTCAGTATGGGCATTCTTCTTTTTCCCTGGTAAGAAGATCAGAAATACAGTTATCCCATCAGTGTTTGGAATCTTGACATACTTGGCCTGGCCCCAGGGCTCTGAATCCTGTTTCCCGATACAAAGTCACCTTGGTCAAAGGTACATTTCTCTTTATCTTCCACAATCTTGGAAAAGGAGTCTCTTTAAGAACAGAAAGTTCTTCCTCATGTCTAACCTTGTTCTGCACCTGTGCATACACTGAGATGCAGGTGGTAGAGAAAGTTAGGGCTGTGATGCGCCTGGCTAAATGACCTGGAGTGCACCCCATGTGTGGAGCACTTTCACTGTCCCAAGTTGTGGGGCCCAAGCTGCTCTCTTTTGAACCTTGTGAACATTAGGCTAAGGGAAAGAAGCCAGGTATAAAGGACCGTGCAATTGCACTTACACAAAATATCTGGAATAGACAAATACACAGAAACAGAGAGTAGATTGTGGTTGCCTAGGGCTGTGAGAGGAGTAGGAGAATTGGGGAGTGCTGGCTGAGGTTACAGGGTTTCTTTTTGGGCTAAATGGAAGTGTTCTAAAATTGGTTGTGGTGATGGATGTACAACTCTGTGGATATATTAAAAGCCGCTGAACTGTGCATTTTAAATACAATATGTGAATTATATCTCAATAAAGCTGTTGTTTTCTTAGCTTCTACTTTCTTACCACAAATCCTGGGGGCTCTTGGGAGCAAAGGGCCAGGGCCAGACTCTAACAGACAGGACCTCTAGGTGGAGCACAGCAGCAGCTGCTTCCCCTGCCCTTCCTGTCCTCTGGGAAGAGTGAATAGGGCCCAGCGCACCCTCCTTCCCCCATACTTAGTGCCTGGGTCAAGATTCTGCCTTCTAGGACTCATCCACCCAAATGAGGTCTCAGTGTTTCCTCTGGTTGACCCTGGGACCAGCAAGCTCACCCTACTTGGCACAGAAACAGCCACAAAGCACAGAAAGTTGGGTGGTTCTTGTGGGGCTGGAGCATCGTGGAGCAAAGGCAGAGGAGGGTGCTAAGCTGAATGAGGAGCTCAGAATCTGCTCTGGCCTCTGAGTTTTCCCTTCGCTCCTCTGCTCAAGAAGGTGACATTATAGCCATCGACTAGGGAGGAGCTTCTCTCAGGGAGCCGTTTCCTAGGAATTGTAGGCAAGAAAGGGTTGGGATTCACTCAGCAAATGTTTACCAATACCAGCCATGTTCCAGGAACTATTATGTTCTTGGAACAACTGGGCATGCTCTAGTGACGCAGCCTTTGCCTTTAAAGGTCTTAGAATTAAGCGGGAGGGTAAGTGTAATTAGTTCTGTGACTGGGGTACACAATGGAGATTAAAGGCAGGACAGTAGCCAGGTGTCGAAGAGCATGCTGCTATCCCAGAATCCCAGCACTTTCGAAGGCTGAGGCAGAAGGACCACAAATTTGAGCCCAGCCTGGGCCATTTAGCAATTTAGTGCTTCAAAATAAAAAGGGCTGAGGATGTACCTCAGAGTGAAGGCCCTGGGTTTATTCCCCAGTACTGAAAAAAAAGGACATTAATCTGCCTGAAGGTGGGGCTTAGGAGGTCATTAGGGCAGGCTCCCTGGGGCCAGTTTGGAAGGTCTGATAGGAGACAGCCAAACCAACAGGCAAGGGGAGGTGGGTGGAAAATCATGGCAGTGTGTTCTAAGCAGAGGGAATAGAGAACAGGAAGGCTTGGAGATGTTTGCAAGAGAGTGGCTCATCTGGAGAACTGCAAAAGAAATGCCAAGTAGTTCAGTCTGGTTGGAGAACGAAGTTTGAGATTAAGAGTGGCAAGGGCTGCGGCAGGAGAGGTGAGGAGGAGGTCATCTGAAGCCTAAGTAGAAGGAGGTTCGACCTACCTCCTCCCATGTCCTTCACCCGTCCCTGCACCGGCGGGCCTCCTACCTGAGCAGAGGCCACTGTGCCACACGAAGACTCCTGCCAGGAGCAGCAGCAGTGAGATCGGCACCACCACCAGTAGCACGTCCTTGTAGGAGGCCGTCCCTGGTGCTGGACAGGAGGGGTGGGGTCAGAGGTGGGCTTCACGCTTCATAATCCCTTGACCCTTGAACAACGGCCCTTGGCTTACCTGCTTCATGATGGCAGCTCTCCCAGGGGGTGACTGTGACCAAGTCCGAGCTGACAGGGTTGGAGACAACGCAGGAATAGGCCACGTCCTTGTCTCTGAGTCCCAGAGAAAGGCTCAATACCTGCCCATTTGTGAAGAGGCTGTGCGTTCCAACACCAAAGTCCATCATTCCCTCCTGTCGCCAGCTGTAGGTTATGTCACTGATGTTGGGGGCCCAGCAGGACAAGAAGACCTGGCAGGTGTTGGGGGGCTGAGCATCCCCTGGTACAGCAATGAAGACTTGAACCATGGGCCTGGGTACTGCATCTGCACAAGAATAGGAGAGCAGGTGTTCTAAGATCTTGTTTGGTTTTCCATTGCTCTCAGGATAGATGATTCCTTAGCCTTCTATTTGAAACCTTTCATGAAGTGAATCATGTTAGCCTCTCCAACTACACCTCCTGCTCGTCCTCCCTGCCCATCCTAGTAAATTTTCAGTTCTCCCAAACATGCCATGCTGTTTCGTAGCTTCCATGCTTCCACATGGTTCCTTTGTGCAGATGTTTGCTTTTGTTTGTTGCCTTCCTAGAAAACTCCTAGGTATCCTTCAAGGCCAGCTTGGACACATTGCTTAATGCCTCAACTATGACGCCTTCTCTGATATTCCAAGCATGGCCCTCAACTGTCCACACATACTGTCTGTCTCTTGTGATAGCATTTCTCTTACCATGTGTCAGTCAGCTTTGACAACTGTTTATTAAGTCAGGGGAGAAAACAAGCACATTCTTAGACTTTTCCAGCTGACAAGTGATTGTAAAAAACTAAGAAAATGATGACAAGAGTGCAGAATGCTGTGAGGGGAGCCCAGATGTAGAGGTTCTATTTTGTTATTCCGATAACTGTAGCTCTCTAGTGCTGGCAGACAGGTGCTCAATACCCGGGCCATTAAACAAATCGGTGTCCTAAAATGTGGCTCCCTGTTCCTAAATAGATTGATGAGTAAATCTCGAATCTTTGTGTGATGGGTCCAGAGGGACAGGATTCTGGTGACAATGGGAGGGTTCAGTCTCTGACAGCATTCCGAAGTCAAGCAGAATAGAACCTCGTTAATGCCAGCTCAATCTGGTGGGATTTGTGATATGGAAAAAAAGAAATGATTTGCCGGGCACACTAATAGTATAAACAAAGATTACAGGGGGGATATTTACACCACTTAAGAGGACAAGCTGCTTCCAAACATGGGCAGGCACAGTAGAAACACCCATTGACATTTCTAGTAACTGCTCTGCTAATTCAAATCAGTCTTATCTATTGTCAAAGCGGAGCTCCTAAGGAGGGCTGCTTGGCAGCTTCCTGCAATTAGTTCTAATCACGCTATGTATTTGGAAGCAATAAAACAGCAATTTCCTTAAAATCTGTAATTCAGATGCTGAGAACAAGGCATTTTGGAGCTTAGTGGTGTGGGTGCTGCATGTATTATCACATTCAATGTCCTCATTTCACATGTGCGGCAGTTGAGACTCAGAACCGGGAGAGGCTAGGGGCTGCCTGTATGGTTGTTAGGTTGTCCACTGCACAAGGGCATGAGGCTAAGGGACTGGAGGGTGCTGAGACCCAGCTAATACTCTGCTTGTCAAGACCTCCACCCTGGCTCAGGGCTTACAGGAGCCACGAGGGTTTCCTTTAATTGCACATCTGCACCCTGAATGGCCACCCGGGGCAGCCAGGTAGCTGTTTCTGGGGGTTCCAGACACTTCTGCAGTTTGCTTCTGGCCTCTTTCCCTCTCTGCTTCCCTCCGCCCAGCTGCTACTCCTACTTTTCATTCTTAAATGAGACCCCCCCCCCCATCCACATTTCTGAGGTTTTCCTGAAGCAGAGGTTTGGGGTCACTCACATCTCTTTCCCAAGCCCGTGTGTGGTAGATGAATGGAGCTGAAAAGCCAATCTTTCTTGACCAGCAGGAATGTGTGCAGGTGGAGGAGGAGTTGTTAGGGAAAAAGGGCCCATCCTGTCCCCAGCTAATTCAGCCACTCCAGCTGAGGTGACAGCAGCTGTGTAAAAGACCCTGGCAGATTCCCAGGGAGCAGGAGGTCCACCCAGCAGGGCCTGCCAACTGAAGAAATCATAAAAAATAAAGAGATGTTTTTAGGCCTTAAGTTTTGAGATGGTTTGCTTTCCGATGATGAGTGCCTGAGAGAGTCCATGAATAATATATAGTTAAAATCTCTAAGAGACCTCTTTTAAGACATATAGGGCTGGGGGTGTAGACAGTAGAAGAGCAAAGCTCGAGTCAATCTCCAGCACCAAAAATAAATAAATAAGCAAACAAGCACATAAACAAAGGTGCATGAATGGACGAAACAAAACAAACTTGATGCTCTTCTAGTCTAAGGTGAATTTTGTAAATAAAAGTCAGTTGTATCATAGTCTAATATGCAACACTTTTGTTTCCTTTTTAGTGATAGATGAAATAGTACCATGGCTTATAATCTCTGGTGATACCTTAGAATTGCTAGACAGGCCAGGCTCCCTTCTAGATGCTTTATTTCACCTTGAGGGTGCTGCACATGGTAATACTGTCAGGCTCACTTATCAAATGAGAAAAATGAAGGTCAGGGAGGCTAAGCATTGTGTCCAAGGCCACTGAGCCTGGAAAAGAGCCAGCTGGAGTTCAGATAAGGACAGTGGGAGGGCAAAGCCTGGCTGCCCTAGGTAGGAGCTCCTGTGGGAGTATCTGGGGAGTTTTCTTAGCTGTGACTAAAGCAGCAGCTGTTGCCTGAGCTAGCCACGTGGTCAGAGACCAGAGGTTTTGGAACGCAGTTCTCCTAGCTGCTATGGCCCAGGACGCCTGTCTGGTGCTTTGTGAGAGGAGCAGCAGGGTCAGGTGTACTCACCATACACCTTGATCTGCAGGGTCTGGGTCCAGACCCGGCCACCGGTGTCCACCATGAGCACGGAGAAGTTGCCACTGTCCCCAGCCTGCAGGGGTCCAAGCTCCAGGCTGAGGTTGCTGTGCAGCTGGGCTCGGCCCAGGAAGCGGGAGTGGTACAGCGTTTCCAGGGAGCCCCAAAAAGATGTGGCCAGGAGCTCCTCTGAAGGCCAGAGAGATCTCCAGATGGCCTCACGCACTTGGAAACCAGGGGGCTGCTCAGCTGCCAGCAGCACGGAGTCCCCCACCTTGCTCAGCACTTGGGCACCAGTAACTGCAATGCGAAGTAGTGCTGGAAGGACAGAGACCCTGGTTAGTGCCCCCTCTCGCTCCTCTTCCCTACACTGAACACAGCTGGAGGGGCCAAATTAGGGCCCCTCCATCCATACTCCCACCACGGAAGCGAGGGTGCAGTGGGCCAGGGCTGAGGACAAACTGGTCAGCCAGAGAACTCAGTCACTGTATTCATGAACCTCACAGAGGAAGCTGGACACTCAGGCAAGCAATTAAAATAAATGACATTAAGTGCCAGGATGGGGAGAATGGAGTGTCCTGGCCGAACACAGGCAAGGTGAAGAGAGAACTCAGTCGGCCTTGCCTTGCGGGACTCAGAGAAGGAATGGTGAAGCTGAGACCCAAAGGAGCAGTGGGAATCAGTCAGACCCTGCATGCGGGCTGCCTGGAGCAGGGAGCAGACGGGGAAGTGGTATAAGAGGAAAGGGAACAGCGAGCGCAGAGGTCCAGAGAGAGAGGCCGGTGCATGCTGAGGAACAGAAAGTGTTCTCCGCAGGAGGCACAGGAAATGATACTGCAGAATTGGTGGGAGCCAGATCCTGCCAGGCCCTGAAAGCAGCACTGGAGCTTGGCTTTTATCCTTAGAATAAAACTACCCCTCAGACAGATTTTAAGCAGGAGGGTGAGATGATTTAGATGCGTGGTTAGGAAACCATTCCAGCAGAGGTATGGAGAATGCATTGGAGGTAGGGCAAGACTGAAGCTGGGTTATTAACCCAGGGAGAGGGCGACTGGGACTTGAACTGAGCAAAGGAGGCAGGGGGGTTCGAGAAGTGGGGCAAATTGGAGTAGAGAGATTAAGATGGTGTGATAATCAGTAAGGTTTGGCAATAGATTAGATCTGGGGAGTGAGAGGGAAAAAGAAGTTGAGGATGTGCCCCCCGCGCCCTGGGCCTTGGGATCACTGGATGTCATCCGCTGCGGTCTGGAATAGGAGAAGAAACAGACGGGGTGGTAGTGAGATGGCCAGATGCTGAGTTTGGGGGGGCTGTATTTTAGTTTGAGATGTGGGGGAGACACTTCGGTTTGCAATGCCCCCTGGCTCTTTCCCTGGCTCATTCCTGCTCCCTCTGGAAGTGTCACTGCCTGGTCCAATGTTCCCACCCTTTCCTGCAAGTCACACACTCTTCCTCTGTTCCTACAGCGATCAGGGATCAGCACTACGACTGCCCCGTCCTTCCATTACTATTGTCTATTTGAGGCAGTGTCTGTCACCAGTCCATGAGCTCTTCAAGGGCCATTGTCTTTTTTTTTTTTAATCTTTGGTCCTACAGCGACCACCTTGTTTAGAAGCAGGCTATAGGAAAGCTCAGTAAATTGTGCTGAATTGGCTGAAGATGCACCTAGTGCCCAGCACAGCAGTTGGCACTGGGGTGCAGAGTCAAATAAGGGCAGATGTGCTAGGAGTTGGTTAAGAAAAGGTGTTCTGGACGATCACTCAGCTGGCCACATAGCTTCAGCTTCAGTTCCTCATCTACCTTACTGCCCTTTCTGGTCCCAGTCCTCTCCATCCTGGCTGGTAATGGCTTCTGTGTTGATGCAAAGTGAGGGGGGAGCACAGATGGAGAATTGTGCGGGATGTCAGTGGAGACCTGAGTTCTATCCTGTCCTGGCTCTGCCGCAAGCCAGCTATGTGACCATCAGCATTTCATCCCCTCTCTAGTGTCAGTGGTCTTGCCTGCTAAAGCAGAGGGCTGCACCAGATTGGCTATATTGATCTCATTGGACAAGAAGAGCTATTTTGAAAAGTATTTAATAGCTGGGGATGTAGCTCAGTGGTCCAGTACCTGCTTAGCATACATAAAAACAAACAAAAATTTAAAAAAACAATCCATATGTCAGAAATCTAGAACAATATCCTCAGGTGTTCAGTGACTTGAAAGATTTTGTGAATGAAACACACTGAGGTATTTTTGAAGGATTAGGGGTGATTACTCGAACACATTAAAAATGAAGAAATCAGGAGGGGCCTTGGGAGCCTTCAAGGGTCAGGAACTCAGGACGGGGCACTGGACAAAGCAATCTCAAAGTCCCTATGAGACTCTGATATAAACAAGAATGTCTCGGTTCCTGTCACACCCATGACCCCCATCCTTGACCCTTTAGGGGCTGACTCACAGCATATTGGCTACTTGCTGAACAAGGAGGGAAATACAGGCATCAGAAGATTGGGGGACTACCCAGTGCTGAGGAGGCCCCACATCTTGGCCATTCCAATGTCACACCATTGTCAGCCACACCCAAGTCCAGTGGACCACTCTTAACTTTCTCTCGATTCTCCTCCCTGCTTCATACCCACCTCTCCTTGCACAGGCTGCATGGAGGGATCCCAGCTTCCCCGCAGGCTGTTGAAAACACACTTCTCAGGCTGTAGGGAACCTGTGTTGCCCTGCCCTCCCCTCCTCCCCTCTGCACAGACTGTATGTAGAATTTTCATGTGTTAACCTTGCCAAGTCCTCACAATCTAACTTTCTCCCTAAATCGACGGCACCATTGGCTCACTTCTGTCTTGGGCCGCATAACAGCTCATGTCTCATGGACATGGATGCTCCTAGTGCTGCTACCTCCTTCCACTCAGGCCCCTGCTTTTCTTTGTATCTGTCTAGCTGTAAATGGTTCCCAACAACTTGCTTTACTCTTCTCTATCCATCCTCAGCTCTTGGGTTCTTGCTTGGTCTGGCCGAGGGGGTCCCTAGAGGTCTGGCAAGGGGAGCTGGGAAGAGGGGCCTGCCCCACTTACCTTCCCAGAGAAGTAGACTCCACAGGGACCCCTTGGCCATCCTCCTCTGGAGAGGCAGAAAACTCCTTCACAGTCAAAGCCCAGAACATCCCAGACCCACAGGATGCATGGAAGGAGCTGTGGTCCTTCTGGAAAGTCCCATGTTCAGAAGGAGGAATCTTGACTCAGAGCAAGATGGCCTGAAAGTGAAAATATCCTAAGTAAAGTGGAAGTTGGCTGCAGGCCTGGCTGAGCTTTCAGGAACAGATTCTTGTAAGTCATCCTCTTTCCTGTGTCTGTGATTGGCTACTGCCTAGCGACAGTTGCACCACACAAGCCCACATGCTCCTAGCTGCCTGCTATGGGGCCTTCCTGCACCTGACCCTGCCTGTGGCTATCTGTGCTCTCCGTTGTGGTCTCAGAGAACCCTCAAAGCTGCAGTTCCTATCAAGTCACTTCTCCTCTGCTTAAAATTCCTTCATGGCCTCCTGCTAACCGCAGGATAGGCTGAACTCTCAGCTAAGCATGCAAGGTTCTTCTGCTTTTCCTGCTTAGCATTTGAAGTTTTGCTTTTCATGGTTGGCTTCCTGCATCCACTCAGCTCCCTGGCTCCCTGGCCAGAACTGCTCTTTCCAGAACCATCCATTTCACACTTACACTGTCAGGAAGGATCTTCTTGCAGCCTTAGGAAAGGTGGAGAAATTCAAAACCAGAGTAAAGTCAGACACAGTTGCCCTCTGCTCACCTTTGTTCTCTTCTTGCTTCTGTTTACCCAGTTTCTTATGTCAGGGAGGCTTTTCAAGATGTCCCTGAGGAATATTCCTGATTGTCCCAGTGTGGCTTGTTGTGTCTGGTTCTGTGTAGCCTCTGACCTAACACTCAAACTGGACACCATACTTTGGACTGAGGCAGGAACTAGGCAGATAGGATGTGGGATGGAGTTCCTGCTTCTTTGTACGCTCAGCCGAAATGTAGAAACAGACATGCAGGGCGAGTGAAGGTCGCCCACAGACAGGTCTGCCCTGTACCGATGGGCCACATAAGTAGCCAGCGCCTTGGGAGGGGCTGGGGGAAAGTCCTGGGCTGGGGTGAAATTTAAGCTACGTCCTGAAGATGGGTCTGCTTTGGATAGGAAGAGAAAAAGGAGAAGGCCAAGCTTGGGGGTGAGTCCTGGGCATGAAGGGAGAGAGGAGTGTACAGAGCCTCCACAGCAGGGAAAGTACTGAGCAGATTCCAGGAATAAGAAGAGAAACCTTTAGGGCTGAAGTGGGAGGAATTCGTAGGGAGGCTGGGATGGGATTATGTAGACCTGATGCATAAATACGGGGTTAAATTAATCTGGGGAGCAGGCTTCAGTCTTGTTACATACGTAGTTTCTCAGGGATGCTGTGGCTGGGGTGGGCCTAGGAATCTAGCTCACACTACTACTCTGCCTGCGCAGCTGGGGGGCCCAGGGAACACCCCAAGGAGGAGGAGCAGTGCTGCTTGGAGGCAGGAGGCCTGCCTGTTTTGAGCTGGGGGTAACTTCCCAGTGGTGTGAGGACAGCGCAGGACAGGGAGGGACAGAAAGAGCAGGCAAGAATCCTGGGGCACAGATGGCCGTGATGCCTGGACTAGGAAGGAAAGTTTGGAGTTAGGAGAAAAGAACAGAGCAGAAATCCTGGCAGCACTTGGAGGTGCCTTTGCAGTAGGATAAAAACGATAAGGGGAGGGAATAATTTATGACTCTATTGTCAGTTCTGCCATCCATTCATCGTTTATTGAGCATCTACTGAGGTGCCAGGTTCTGGGGACACAGAGATGAAAGGCTTAGCCCCTGCCCTTAAGGAATTCAAAGTTTAGAGGAGGAGAAGGAATAAGTAAATCAATAATTACAGCCGGTGTGGGAAGAACGATGCCAGGAGTGTGCAGGGGTCTGTGGGAGCCGGAGGGCAGAGACCTGCCCCAGCCCTCCAAGCACCTGTCCCATCAGATGGACCGATTCTGGGGTGTCAGGGCCTGGGACTGCGAGGGCTGAGGGGTGCAGGAGGGGCCAGGGTGGGTCCCTTCAGAGGAGACAGTAGGCAGTCATTGTCCCTCTTAGCAGAACTGGTTGCCCAGAGGGTTCCCCAAACACTCGCTTGGCTTCCGCCTCGAACCCCTCTCCTGGAGGGGAAATTTGCAGAAGCTGAGGGCAGAAGAGGAGGCTGCATGAGGACTGCAAAATGTTTCACCTCCCCCACAGGAAAAACCTGGGGCCGGTGGTGTGGCAGGGGGAGAAATCGGAGTGAATGGAGCAGGCAGCGCTTCTTCCCGAGTGTAGGGAAGGGTTAAGTCTGGCGGGCGGGTTCCCCCACCGCTGCTAATCACTGGTTCACACCACATTAATTACCCAGCCACGGGGGGGAGTGCGCTGGAGTAAATTAGCTGGTGAGTTCAAAGGGGCCACTCCCCGCATTCCTTAATTAAGAGAGCAGCTGGCAGCCGGTGCTGCTACTCCACCTCCCTGGGGCCTTTCTGGGAAGCCAGAGTGGAGTCAGGCAGAATCTGCGCGTGCTGTGGCCGGCTAGTAGCTCTGTCTTCCCCGTGGAGCCCCCTGCACCCCACCATTAGCCCACCCCCACCGTGGGGGGCGGGAAGGTGGGGGTGCAGGTGTTAACCGCGGCCAAGCCACCGGGCTGAGTTCCTCCTGAGCTGCTGGTGCGGCGGTTCAGGTTCAGGTTCAGGCTGGGTGGGATTCGGGTGAGGGTGCGCCCAGCTGGGACTTCCACGTCCTGTGCTCGAGTAGAAAGGAGCAGTGCTTCTCTCACAGGGAGAGGTGGGGAGGAAGAGAAGGTGGGAGAGAGGGAGCCAGCCGGGAGAGGAGGCCCAGACAGAGCTAGACACGATCTGCAGGGGTTTGAGGAACCAGGGCTGATGGGATGGGATAAGGCCGTTCCTGGGGAGTGGGCAGGCAGGAGTGGGAGTCTGTACCCCTCCGAGGGGCTCTGTGGGACAGGGCAGAAGGGAGCAGGCTGAATCTCACTGCTCAGTGGAATTTAGAAGTGGTTTTTCTTTTGGACTGAGTTCCTGCTGCACCAGGCCCAGCTGACTGGACAAGAACGGAGTCACTCCTGCCAGATGCCACCTAACAGGCTACTTTTCAAAAACCCCGAGAAACCCCCAGAAACCAGCCAGAAGGGCATCCATTTACCTGAGCCTAAGGACTTCTCCTCAGTTTTAATGGTACTGGGAGAGTAACTTGAAATGAGCCATCTGCTTTTTGTTCTGTTATGGTTTCTTCAGCCCTTATAAAGCCCAGCCCCTCTGCCCATCTTGTGGGAGCACCTTTACTAAACCTTTAGATGAGTCGCTGCCCCCATGAATGAACTGTTAATAAAAGCCAGTCAGATCATTAGCCATATTTGTTGAGGTTTTATTTTTTATATCATGTAAATCCCATCTGGATTATCTGTCAGTAGATGTCACGTCCTCAGACCTTGGGGCAGGCGTCCCATCTTGTTCCCCCATGCCCCCAGCTTAGCCAGCTGTGTGTTGGCAGGAAGACTGGATTGGAGGGAGAATGTCCCCGAAGGAGTCCTGCCTCTGTTGTGTTTTAGAAACAATCAGTGTTGCTCACTTTCTACAGGTGTGAAATGGATGCACCGGACCTCTCCTGAGATGTGCTGGCATGGGCTCGAGCCTCAGTTCCTTCCTCAATTTCATGCTTAAAACACTCCTCCTGTCCTTCCTGTCCTGGCCCTGCTGGAAGCAGGTAGAAGGAATGGAATCTCTCATGCATGGGTGCACACCGGGAGAAGGAGAAACCGAGTGGAGAGCAGAATGAGTGGGCTAGAGCACCTGCAGGAGAGCGTGGGAGGGGTTCACTCTGCTTTTGAGGCAATGACACAGCTTCCCAGAGACTCTAAGAAAGGCACCATAAAAAGAAACCTAGCCACAGTTGTGCCTTTGCTGAGGCAGAGAGGGGGCAGCTAGAAGCTCTTTCATGCACTCATTCACCACAGGATGCTATGCGGGGTTCCCACCTTGCGCACACGAATGCCCCAACACACACTTGGAGAGCATCTAGCATGAGGTCAGGAACTCAGTGCCAATGATGGTAGTGATCGTGTACTTAGGATTAAAGGAATAATCACGATTAATCTGTGCCCCACGTGGGAAAGAATTCCAGAAACAAGTAGAACATCAGCTGTATTTTCTTTCTTTTTTTTTTTTTTGGTACCGGGGATCGAACTCTGGTCCTTGTGCTTACAAGGCAGGCGGCGGAACCACTGAGCTAAACTCCTGGCCCAGCTGTGTTTTCAAAGTCTGAGAGAATTCCCCTGAGCAGTGAGCAATGTCTACTGCTAGAGACGTCTTGTGATGATGGTTTCAGGTACCGGCAACTGCAGCTGCTTTCTTCAATGCAGAGGGAAATGTAACATTTGGTGGTGCACACAATATCCCCACTTCAGATGAAAGTGCTGGGTCTTCCCCATGCTGTACAGACAGTCTATAGTCAGTGTCCTCAAAGTTAATACAAAGGGGACGGACACAGAGCTGTTTATTGCATGCTCACACAGAGCTGTTTAGGGGATGCTCATTTAAATAAAAATACAGATCTTATTTCCTAACCAAATCTAAACTAACACACCTGGAATTGAAAGAAATCCCAATGCATGCAGCCCTCTTGTTTTAGGGAAGGAAGGACCACGTTCTATTTTTAGCTTGTGTTTAAACTGCATAGCCGCATACCATACAAGGACTGGGTGCCCAATCATATCTTGAGATGAAGTCGATGAATGGATCAGACCACAGTGCAGGCGGGCGCTCTGTAAGTCCTTAACTACCCCAGAGCGCCATCAGGGGGCAGCCCTGAGCCCACGAGCCCAAATGTAGGCTTCTTCGTCCTTTAAAGAGCGTCTCCAGGCTGCTTCTCCACGCCCAACTAAGATACTGAGTTCTTTGTTCTCATTTTGCACTTTAGTTGATGTGACCCGGTAGAGCCCAGGTCCCTAGAAAAGATGTAGCCAACTCCCCTCGCCGGCTAGGTGTTTGCACTTAGTTCTGACTGGACAGAAAAAGAATTTTCGCAGAGCAGAGCCCTGGTACTAAGTAAAGGCTGCTGGCGGACAGTCCTGTGGCAGCCAGCCCTCTAGTCTCCAGGGGGCGCCTCTCAGTGTCCACAGGGTCCATCCCTAGCAGGTTCGGCTCTGACCTGAGGGTAGGAAATGGGGCTCGAGGGCCGAGTGTCCTGCCACAAACTCGGGAGGGCGGGGGCTGGAAAGCCTTGTTCTCCTCAGGAAGCTAGACTTTATGTTCTGTTCTGGGTTTTTCTTTCTCTTCAATTTTCTTAGCAAAAGTTCATTGTGAAAAATTCCAGCTTATTCTTTTCTAAACTAAGGGAAAATGTGCAAATAAAGCCGGGGGCAGGGAAGGATTCTGGGGAGAAGCAAAGTGCCCAAGCAGCCATGCAATGGGCTGTTTGTAAGCGTGAAAGAGAATGCGAGCATGAAAGAGTGCACGCGAGCGTGTGTGGGGAGGCCTTCTTAGCCATCTGTGGCGAAGGACCTATTTTTCTTTTTTCTTTCCAATCCATTGTGGGCCCATACCTTTGTAGAATACAATAAAAGCAAATTACTAGAAAAAAAACAAAACAAGACATACATACAAAACTGCAAGTCCTCATTTTTGATGATTATATTAAATGAACCAGATTGCTATGAAAGTTTGTAAATTATTGCTGTAATTTTGCCACTTATCTTGTCACAGACACTACTAAAAGGCAATTTCACAGACTGGCCCCAGGCCAGTGTTAAATGTCACTGGTGGGGCGGGGGCAGGAAGGGGGAACGGTGTGGCTCCCAAACAGGAAGTGGTGTGTGGTCTATAGGTCAGTGGAAGGGCTGGTTCCATCTCAGACCCCACCATCAGTGTTTTCCTTGGTGAGCTGACTTGGGTTGCCACTCTTTATAAGGGGTGATTCCTGTGAGGCGGGTGAGGCAAGGACTTGGGTTCTGCTGGTGCACCCAGCTACAGCTGAGGATGCCCGGCTGCTGGATAATCTGTCTGTGGTTCTTGGTCCCTGCAGCTGTGTCTCTGATTGTTGGCAAAGTGGGGGGGGGCACCCTGGTGTATTCTAAGCATGGGCTGAACTGATGATGAGAGATAGGAGGAAGAAGAGGAGGAAGGGGGGGAGGAGGGGGAGGGGCTGGAGTTGGGGAAGAGAAGGACAGAAGGGAATAGAAGTGAAAAAAGAAAAATATTGGGAGGGGTTGTCTTACTAATCCTCTTGTGCATCTCTGTTATCAGATCAGCTGGAGCAGAACCACAGGCTGTGAGCCTCTCAGACGAGTAGATGGATGCACTTTGATGATGCACCTTATAGGTGGACCAACACTTTTAAATTTTAATATACATGCAAATCACCCACAGATCCAACTGAAAGGCAGATTCTGATTCAGCAAGTCTGGGGTTAGGTCTGAGTGGTAGCGTTTCTAATAAGCTCCCATGACATCAGCACTGTGTTCAGGGCAGACATGACGGTAGTCAGGAGCTGTCTGATTATGTGTTGCCTCCCTCATGGGCAAGGTGGGTGGCATCTGCTGAGGTCCCTGTCTGTAGGGTGACTTTACTCTGTAATTCCAGGACAGGAGCCTATGAAGTCAGGCCAGTGTAACTAATCCTTCAGGCCTCAAGGAGTGTGGTGGACTCCTGAATAAACCAAACTGAACAGTCAGACATGGAATGATTGATATTGCTGAACAATATAAAACAAATTGAAACATTTTTAGTAACAAAGTAGATTTTATAACTATGTATCTTTTTATCTTATATTTACTTTTAAAAAATACATTTCAATTAGTACCGTTTTACAAAATGTTGGGTTTCGCTGTGGTATTTGCATACATGCATATAACATATCTTCATTGCATCCATCCACCCACTGTATCTTTTTAAATAAGCAAGGGGTGACGGAGTTTTCTGGTGCCTGCTACAAATGCGGGCTTGGGCAAGCCTCAGTTCTGTCTCTGGTAAACTAGAAGGGATCTAGACAGAAACAGGACTGCGTGTGGAGGCAGAGTTGTTGGTACCTGCAGGGCTTTCGCCACACTGTCAAGGGTTCTGTGATATTTGGGTCAGAACTTTTCTTGCCTGACATTGTTCTTGCCGAGCCTCCGAGAGGCCCTTTTGCCTCCAGTCACTTGTGGGCTTCTGCAGCATCTTAAAAGGTGGAAATTCATTACAGAGCCGCCTGCTCTAGGGCCAGGCCCCTGGGATGGGAGCTGATGCTCTTTCTTTCCAGGATCAGGCCAAGCATATTCATTTGCCCTCCATATATGTACGGTATGTCTCCATATCTATCTCTGTTTCTATCTCCATTTATGTATCTGCAGAGAAAAGGAAACTGACGCTTCCACTTGTGTGGAAAGAAGGCATTTATGTCTCTGAGTCCAGTGTTGCTGGTGAAACTTAGGGGTGTGTGGGGTCCCTGGCCACCTGGGGGAGCGGTGGAAGCTGGGGATGTGTAGCTGTCGTGGGGAGACGCCATCGCTAGTAGAAGATGTCCTTGGAGTCACCAAGAGGATTTTGGGAGGCCCTGCTTCTTAGATTCAAGTCCTTGCAGGGCATCTCACTGAGCTGTGGGCATCTCACCTCTGCATAGACGGCAAAAGCATCCTGTGGGAGAGTTGGGTCAGGATGCGGAAGCAGATGCAAGATGGAGGGTGGGAAAGAGTAAGGATCCCTCCTCACCTTTTCCTCTGAGGCGAACGCAACAGGTCTGGCTTTGGGGGACAGAGAAGCACTCAGGTTAGGGCGTCTGCATTCACCAGCACATCTCCTCCGACCTCTCCCTGCCATCTCCTTTCTTCTAGAGAGCACAGACCCAGCGAGGGTCCCTTTCAGGTCCACACAACCTGAAACAGAATCTGGAATCCAGAGAGTTGGGTTCCAGCCCCAATTCAACCATCACCAAGTGCCTGACCTGAGTCCAGTCATGTAGCCTCTGAATCTCAGCTTCCTCAACCAAAAAAGAGGGTCCTAGTAGTAATGTCCTCACAAGGAAACAGTGTGACTTCAAAGAGGGGAAAATATAAAAAATGTCTTTGAAATAACTGCTTCATTAGACCTCTACAGTACACCAGACAACCTTTTAGGTGAGAGGATTATATTTATTATATGAAGTGTGATAGAAAAGCATGGTGTGTCTTTAAATTAAAAATGATTACAGTTAAAGACACTATGTTTTGATCACCCCTGTAGCTAATCTTATGCCAGTCCTGCAAAGTCTGGATTATTAATTCTTTTTTCATACTGGGATGAAAAATCTTCTGTCACTTCCATAAGAAGAAGAAACTTTAGGTAAATTTTGAATCTTTACAGACTATGAAACATTGTCCCAGTGACCCAATATTGTCTTCCCTAATCATCTTGGAACGCAATGGCTTCTCTTTATTTTGTGTTTCAAGTCCCTTCAGCCACACATCACGAAAGCCCTCTCAGAGCAGGCATGAAGTGGAAGCAGGTGACTATCTCCATCCCCATCCTCAAATCATGCCTTCACATTTGTCACCCTGTTAGGATTTGAATAGTCAGGGTTTCCTTATTTTGCCAATGTAAATCATATATTTGAGGGTTTTGCTGTTGTTTCTTTCTTGGGTTTAGGTCCTCATTGAAATTCTTCCCAGGGAGGAGCTGTGTCTTAAGTCTGCTTTCCCTGTGCCCTGGCAACGCTTTGGGCAGTAGCCAGCCAGGTCTAGGGAAACACCACCTGGGTCAAGACACCAGGCTGTTTACTGCCCCTTGTGCCCTCTGTGGGGAGGCCAGAGACTACAGACTGATTTAAACTATTTTTATAGATCAGGTGTAGAAATCTCAAAGCAGGTGAGTCATTAAAAAAAATACTCCCTGTTTTTGAAACAATATTACATGCTAGATGATCTTTCAAATTTACTCTGAGAAATCAGGTTCTGTTCCCAACAACTTAGTCTTGCAGAGTAGACATAGTGCCCATTTTACAGGCTGGAGTCACAGAAGTTACATGACTTGCCAAGTCACACAGTGAGTGCATAGAGTCAGGGTTGGAACTCAGTTCTGTCTGACTCAGAAAGCCACACTTTGCACAATGTCACCCTGCCTTCTTCCCTCTTAGTGACAGGAGCAGCCCTTCCCCCATCTCTGCTATCAGATGTGGCTAGAGTTTCCAGTCTTTTTGACTCCATCTTCTAGCTGGGACTCTCCAGTCTCATCTTAGGCTCTTGGGCCTTGGCAAACTGTATCATTCTTTGCTCTCTCTCCTTTGTTTCTCCACAGTGCCCAGCAAAGGGCAAAAATTCCCTGCAGTTATCATGACAGTGGTGGAAGAGATGATATTGAGAACGATGATTACGGCGGTCAGAATAGTGTTGGGGGTGATGTGGTACGGAAGTCAGTGGTCACCATGATGGTGTGAAGGTGGTGGGTATGGGGGTGGTGGCGGTGGTGGTGGGATGAGAGCGAAGAAGGAAATGGTGCTGGTCACGGTAGCACTTGTGACGATGGCAAAGGTGGTGGTGATGTTCACGATGACCGTGGTGATGGTGTTGATAATGATGGCAGTGAGAGAGGAGATGGTGGTCATAATGGTGTCACTGGTGGTAAATATGGTGGCAATGATGATAGCAGTAGTGTTTGCTTGAGAGAGTGATATTTATGGTAATGATAGTGATACTCTCATCCTAGGGCCAGAACCTCCCCTTGGCAGAGATGTCAGGTTTGGGCCGAGACCACTTACCCTTGCTCCTTGTTGAGATTGTCTGCACCACAGAGTAGGTAATATCTTCGTCTTTCTCTTCCTGGAGTACTGGAAGAAGGAATGAATAAGTTGCTTGACTCTCCCAGCCCAAGCTACAAGTGTCCTGAAGACACTTACGTAGGGAAGCCAATCAGAGGCTCTGTCATGATCTTTTGTTAATGGAGGGACGTCATCTTGTAGGGGATGCCTGGCTCTCTCAGCGGATGTTAGCAGCTTTCCTGGTCCTGGCACTGTTTGGACAAGAGACTGACAAACTTCTTCTATGAGAAAGATAGTACATATTTTAAACTTTGTGGGCCGTGTCATCTCTATCATAACTATTCAACTCTATAGTGCGACAGTATCTCCATAGAATGGATAAAGAAATGAGTATGATGGTGTTGCAATAAAACTATTTATAAAAATAGACAGTAGTCTGGCTCATAGGCCATAGTTTGGCAACTCTTGATGCAAATCCTCCTAGCCTTCTCTCCTGAAGTTTCCCCCACCGAGCTCTCCAGCAGTTGCTCCTCAAACTTTCCCTGGAAACCATCATCTTGCTTCTCCAGATGATTGAGCCTGGAGATTCGGGGTTCAACAGGGTCTCCTTCTCCCCACTTCCTGTAACAGGCCCTTCTCTGCCTTCATGGACAGACCATGGTCCTGCTGGAAGTCCTTACCATTGCCATCCAGTGGGCACTGCTCTCCACTTGGAGCTGGGGGCAGATTCTGGGCTGGAGGGGGCCCTAGGAGGTGCAAAATCATGGTTCACGGAACATGCCTCACAGAGCAGGTAGGGACAGAGAGGCTGCGAGAAGGATGCTGTGCAGCTGCCAGAGGCCTGAGGCTGACTTGTTGATGAAGGCTAATTCACAGGCATGGACATGGTTAATTTTTATGGGATGTTTCCTTTGAAAAAACAGCCTAGGAGGTGGGATGGTTACATGGGAGTCATGAACTGGGAGGAAGCAGGCTCAGACATGGAAAGGGCCCAGACCCACAAGCCAGTCTGCTTTTCAGAAGGAAGAAAAGCTAGCGTCTTTGACCATATACTATGTGCCAGACTTTGGACTGGGAATTAAAAAAAAAAATTCTACTTCCTAGTAGAGCACTAAACCCAATAACCAGCACATAGTTGCACATCAAAAAAGCCTTGCTTCCTAATTCTTGGGTGTCTGATACTCTTTGCAATCATTTTGACGGGTGGACACTTATATCCATCTGATAGATGACATGACTGAGGATGGAGAAGGGAAATCTCCAAGGTTACAGTCAGTGGTGGAGACAGAATCTTAACTTAGGTTTCTATCCTTGTTCCCACTAGCATGCTATCTCTGTGACAGCAGTTACTTCCAGAACAGGAAGCTCCTGAGATAGGAATTTTGTCACATGTGCATGTTAGAAACCGTGGATCCTGCCTAGTGCCTGAGAGATATTCATTAGCTCTAACAGCAGAGAAGCATCAGAATCACCAAGTAGGATCTGTGGAAACAGCCCCTCCTGTAAAACTGAAAAGGCATCTATGGAGACTCAAATAGGCACCCGATCATCAGACATCTCCAATGCACATGCTTCCAAGTCTCCATCCAATGAACAGTTAGTTCTGTGAGTTCAATGGGACTTTGTTTAATGGGAAGTGTGACAAATTGTAAAATGAACACTTTAAAACAAACACCCCAAAACTTGTACATGGAGGTAGAGAGCTACTTTGAAGAGAACCCTTTGCATGATCACATCATGGTTCCAGTGACAACATCATTGGTCAAATTATTTGGGAAATCACCTTTAGAGACATTCAGGCTACCGCAGATCGTGGTGGTGGCATATTTTTGCTTGTTGAGAAACAGATGAGCTGAGTATGAGGAATAAAGCTGTTAATCTGGCTGTTTTTCTTGTGTAGCTATGGAATTGTGGCTGAGAGTGGCTTTCTGAGTGACATTCTGAAGAAGAGTTTGTGTTTCCAAGAATCTGAGATACTAGGACCAATGCCAGGAGTCCAGGTTGTGTGCTATATAGGCCCCTTAGTAAATCAGAGCCCACCTGCTCCAGGGTTGATACTGGTGGTACAGCATCTCTGGATGGAGGGGGTGTTCTTTTGTTCCCCATAACAGGTATCTTTGTCTTGGGGATCATTCAGTAGTGACTGTTGCTACTTTGTTTTGCCTGGGGCTGGGGAGGGAGGCAGCTGTGTGTGTGTTCCCCTACCTTTAATTTTCTGACCCAGAGGTGAGTGGTCAGAAGTACCTGTGCTACAGAGGCCAGGCTGGGACATTTGGAGTGTTTTTTATTAGAGGCTGGGGCGGCGGGACTCACGGGTCTTCAGCTTGTGTCTCCTACTCCAGCTGTCTTCCCATCTAGCTTGAGACCTGCTTCCAGCCTCAAGATATCATCAAGCAAGTCTATCCTGCATAAAATCCAGACTTAACAGCAGGAAGTGAGTGATGGGAAGTTGGGTGTGTGAGGACAAACAAATGAACAAGGGGGAGAGGAAGGAGAAGGCAGGTTGAAACCCTAACTGTTAAGGCAGGAGCCTGTGCTTCGGGCTGGGGAAAATGCCTTTCAGATTCTCTGGTAGATGGTCAGGGAAGATGGTCTGGGTTCATGGCTGGGTGGTCTTTCTGCATGAGTCAGCTGGCTCAGCTCTGGAAAGCTCATCACAAATTCCTTAACAGAGGAAGCTGAAAACTTGAATAAGTATATCTAGCTTTGGATGTCTAGGAGAGCCCTAGACATGTGGAAAATAAAAATATTGTTCCTGCAAAGGAGGAAGTAAGGTTGATTTGAGCCTCTGTAGGTAGATTTAAAGCCCTAGGAATAAAGTGGCACTAAATGGTGTTGTCATTGATAGCCATTCCTTTAAATGTGGCCAGAAGTGAAGGAGGCTTGGAGCTGGAACAAACATGTAGCCACCCTTGTGATTGCTTTCAAAACTAGCATTCCTGCTTAATTGTCATAGACAGGAAGGAGAATGTCTGGGATGAAAAACAAAATAGATATCCTAGAAACTCCATTTGTCTGATTGTTTTCATCTCTTCTCTATAGAATCCTCTGCACCAGAATTGTGACCATTCTTTTTTATTTTCAATGACTTTAGAGGAATCCGAAATGAGCAGCTGAAGAAAGGGCAGTCTGGGGAAGCTGCTGGGATCGTCTGCTTGGACTAGAAAGAGAATTTGCAAAGCACCCACTATGTGGCATTCAAATACCTTAGGTATTAGATTTATGTTATCTCAGCAACTTCAACTTTTACAACACGAGAGAGAGAGAGACAGAGAGAGAGAGAGACAGAGAGAGAGAGAGAGAGAGAGAGAGAGAGAGAGAGAGAGAAACTTTATCGACTCTCAGAGTGAGCTGGCCCAAGGCTGTGGAGCTAGAAAGTTGCCAGATTGGGACCAGGCCACTGCTTAGTTTTTTCCGATCACAATTCCTTTCTGATGTACAAGGGGTGTGTGTGTGTGTGTGTGTGTACACAGTCTCTCATTTCTTCTCCTCTATTTAATGAACCAGAGCTCTCCTAATATAACAGAGTTGGAGGCCTTGTTCTTTTCCATCATATTCCAGCTATAGATTGTCTTTTCATTGTGAAGGACACCAACATATATCATGTTTGGTTTGCAGGAATTTGTTGGTTTATGCTTCACTTCATGCCTGGATATGCATTAGTGCTATCATGCACATCTCTGTGTGGCTGTGACTGTTAAGGTGGTGTGTCTATGTATGTAATGTTTTAGAAGTGGCAAGAGTCCCCCTTTGTGTGAGGTGTAAAGAGAGAGAAGAAGAGAGTGGTCGGCCCTGTTGGGCCCTGGCTTTTCCAAGGCTGGGCAGTGCCTAGCATAGGGATTCAGCAGCCACAAAAGACAAAAAGAGTTAGTTACTAACCAGCTTTTCTCCAGGGTCTGAAATATGCCAGAAGGGCCACAGCAATGACCATCGTACCAAACAGCCTCCCAGGTAGCCCAGCAACCAGCCAGTTGCTGCTGGTGGGGGTGGACATGACTTGAGAACCTGGGGAAGGAGGTGTGGGGAATGAGCATGAGCATTGAGCGTGAAATTCAGAAATGCATCTCAGATTGCTCAGAAAGGCAGAATGGCTGGCTTTAGCAGAGCCAGGTGGGCCTGCAGGAGATGGGAATAAAGGGTAGCTCAGAGGATGCCAGCATGACCTGGTGACACCACGGACCGCCTTGTACCCTCCCCTCATGGTGCTTCCATATCCAGCAGGCTCAGTGCATGGACACTCCATCAGGGCCCATCCTCCGCCATGCAGAGCCCACCATGGGCCATCCCTGTGCCAGGCATGCTGGAAGGGCACCAGGAGTGAGATCTGACTGCTGCCAGCTTGCAGGGGCTCAGAGCCTGGTTTGGGGACAAAATGCACCATGCATGGAAAGCTTCCAGGGCTCACTCTTCTCTCTGGAGACACTGTTCTTGGCCTTGCATGAGTAGTTCCCAGGATCTTGCTCTGACTTCACTGGGAAGCGGAGGGAGGCAGCTCCGCCATGGAGGACTGAGTGGTCCCTCAGGATCTCCCTGTCAAGGTAGAACAAGTAGAGGATTGGAGGGGAGCCCCTCTGGGCCTCACAGAGCAGCTCTATCACGTCCTGCACAGCAGGGCTAGTGGCTCCATGTTGCAGAGTGAGGAGAGGACAGGACACAGGAGCTGGCATGGCAGGTGGCAAAGGAGGTCAGCCAGACTGTCCAGGCTCCTCCTCCCCTAGAGACCCTTCCGTGCTCCTGAGGGCTTGTTGCCGGGGCCCCTGGGGAGTCCTGTCTCCCTCTCCTACTCACCCTGTACCTTGATTTCCAGTGAGGGGCTCTGTTTCTGGACTTGGCTACCCTCAAGGGCCACTTTGCATCAGTAAACCCCAGAGTCTCCCTCCTTGACTCCCGGGATGCAGAGTTTTGCGTGGCGGCCTGTGTGCTGCACAGTGTGGCCCTCCTTGTAGAAGGAAAAGAGGAGCTGCAAGGCTGACTTCTAGGGATGCAGCTCCGTCTGACATCTCAGGCTCAACAGGCTCCCGTCATGGGGCTCTGGAGAGGGGCTAGTGCTCAGCACAGGAGGCGGGAACAGCTCTGGAGAGACATTAGTGGCCGAGGAGGGGAGCCCTGCACAGTGAGGCCCGGGAAGCTGAGGAATGAGCTCCACCACAGCCCAGGGTGCAGCTCCGTGACCCTGATGGGAGACGGTGTTGTCTCCCACCCATGAGCTCTGAAAGAGCCCCACACACAGCCAAGAGCCTCTGGCAATCTGGAAGTCAGAGCCAGACAGGCCCTTGGTGGTCATCTGGTCCTCAGAGGGGAGGGGAGTATGGCTGGGGTGACCCAGAACCCCTTCCACCACCCTACCCCTGGCTCCAAATGTGTCCCTGAGGATGAAGGGACATTTGGACTGCATCAGGGACACTCAGAGCCCTTGTGTTGGTCCAAGATCAGCAGCAGCCAGAAACAGGGAGCTACTGACTGTTAGAGACTGGACCCCTGAGCACTTTCCTATTGCCACAAACCCCACTAAGCTGGTGACTCACCTTGAACTTGAACCATGGCAGCCTCTGAGGTTTGTAAGAAACTGTATGGGAGAAATATCACCTCCCCACTGTAGTAGTATTTCCCACTGCTGTTCACTGTTGCTGCTCCAATAGACAGAGGCTGGCTGATGTTAGTGAAATAAAGGAATTTTCCATCTTTGTAGAACTTCACCTGGGAGAATGTTGCGTGCTTTTCTCCCTGGCACTTCAGAGTCAGGGTGTCTCCTTCAAAGACTGGGTTTGGTAGGACTTGGAGTTTCAGCAAGACTGTGAGACACAGGAACAGGATCAGCCTGGGGCTGCAGGTCCCATCAGTCCACTCCCTTCTTTGTCCCCAGCCTAAGGCCGCTAGCTGTCTGTGATGACTCTGGACAGAACTTCACAGCTATCCCCATGTCCAGTCCTTCATCCCACAGCAGGACCTTGACTCCTTTTCTTCTTCTCTCTTTCCTCTTGCTTTTCTCTGTTTATTCCTCTCCCTGCTTCTCCTTCTCTCTCGTCTCCTATGTCTTCTCTCTGGCTTTCTTCCCTCACACCCTCTTTTTCCCCTTTTATATTGTCTTTTTTTTTTTTGGTACCAGGGATCGAACTCAGGACCTTGCGCTTGTGAGGCAGGTGATGGAACCACTGAGCTAAATCCCCGGCCCTATATTGTACCTTCTTTTACCACCTTTCCAAGTTTGGCAAAGTTAGGTTGATTCCATCCATGGTCTGGCTTCGTTTTCCCAGACTCAATTTCCTCTCCCTAGGATTGGCCTCTTATCCTCCAGCTACCCCAGAGTGATACTTTCTGCAGCTTTCACCCTGATAATAGCTGCATCTCTGTTCATCAGAGTAGAGAGGAGCTGGTGGAGGGGGTTTGTGAGAAATGCCACAGCAAGGGCTTGCTCCATCTTGCCTCTCCAGTCAGCCTTCCCAGGTCCAGCCTCCATCTGCACCCCCAGCAGGGAGTTTCAGCTTTGTTCTCCCTGTCCTTGTTCCTGTCATGCATTCTGTGCCCTGATGTGGACAACAGAAGAGCTCTGAGGGATCCAGCATCATCTGCACGGCTGGATCCTTACTGAAGGGTGGGCCTTGCTTCCTTGGCTGCTCTTTTGACTCACTGAAGTAAGGGTTTAAATTTCCTCCCCATAAATCACATATCATTTCCTTGGAAGTCAAATGTTCCTAGTCTAGAGTTTGCTCCTACTTGACAGAAAACACCACAGAGGCCCTTGGAACAAGGCAGGCTGGAGAACAGCAGTAGCAGACAAAGAACAGAAGACTGATGGGCAGACAAAGGCCTACTTCTGTGAATAGAAAGGGGAAGGAAATGAGCCCAAGCTGTGTTGAATAAAGAATACAGGCACTCCAGGGCCACAGGGGAAGAAGGGACAGAGGCCAGAGCCACTTTTGAGGGACTGAGAGGAAGGTCCAGAGCCGCTGTGTTGAGACTTGACTCACCACCCTAGGACCAGCCTGGGCCTTAGCCAGTGGAGTTCCAGGTTTCTGGAACTTCCTGGACACGGGCCAAGAATCCTAAGGAAGGAGCCTAGACTGCAGCTGCTCTACAAATGTTGCCGGGAGACCCACTGGCACGCTGACTATCTCCATCAAGTGTTAGCCCAGAGGCACACTTGGAGCCAGAAGACATGGAAAGACTTACCCTTTGTCCCAACACAGGAAACTGCAAGAGAACAAAGTGATTTTTAAAAAATAAATAGTAGAAAGAACTTTCACACTGGGAAGAACTTTCATACCTGTCATTTCAACAATTGCTGCTTACATCCAACCAATCAGCCAACTACACAGCTACCTAGTCATTCAACTAACCACTCACCCACCTATCCCCCTAGCTACCTAACTACCCACCTATTGAACTAATCAATTTTTATGGTGGACACACTCACTGAAATCCTCTTCCCTAGCGTGGTTCAAATGTTGTCTCCTCAGACAGGTTTTCCCTGGGACCACAATCAAAAGAATTCTCCAGAGTCACTATCACTATGTCCCATTGTCATCAGAACACTTATTATTTGTATTTGAATTTATTTTATCCATTAAGCTGTCAAGATGTTACCACCTATCTTCCTCTTCTTCCTCTGCTTAGAATTAGAATGTAAGCAAGGTCTCTGCCTTTTTTTTTCTTTCTGTACTGGGGATTGAACTCAGGGCCTTTACACTGAGCTATATCACTAGTCCCTTCTAAATTTTGAGCTAGGTTTTTGCTAATTTGCCCAGGCTGGGTTCAAACTTGTGATCCTTCTGCTTCAGCCTCCCAGAGTGCTGAGATTATACGTGTGCCCCACCATGCATGGCTTGATTCTGTTTATCTTACCCACTGCCATGTTCCTTATGTGTAAGGACCTATGCCTGGAGCATTGTCTGTGTTCCATAAGTATCAGCTGAAGAAGTGCATGCATGCTTTCCTTTGCATCCAGTAGTGTGGGCCAGAGATCAAAAAGTAGAAGACCAACATGCCCAAGGGCTCACCTCTCACACATATAGAAGAACCCATAGAGCAAGATCTGGCCCCAGTTCCTATTGTTCAATATGTCCACAAGCTCTGAGGGAATAATGTATGGATGCGATCAGATTGTGAAGGCAAAGTTCCTTGGATACACAGCCAGGCATGTGGGACATAGACAGCTCAGACAAATGAGAGAACTAGAAATAAGCCAGATGCATCACACACCATGCTGGTACCTGCACACACTGCACACTGAATTGTCCAAGGGATAGAGGACTCTAAATGAGTGGCATTGTTGAATATGAAGCAGTGGAGCATATTTTGGACTTCAGGGCAGAGGACACAACAATGAAAGGTTGAAGGACTAAGTGCACTCAGTTCAGTCAGTCTTCCCATACACTGACTTGTGTCCTTCATTGCTGACATGTCCTCAGTACTGCAAAGGACACTGAGAAACACAGGCATGTCCTCAGGATAGGTGGGCGAAAATCCTCTCAGAGCACACATTTGTCAGATTCAGTCACATGTTGGCATCCTTGCTGCCCACAATACTTTGGACATAAATGGAGCTTTCAGCTTGATGATATTCTACTCATCTCAGTTATAATTTCTCAAGTGTTGGGAGAACTATAAGAGTCTATTTATTATCATCTGTCTACCCATCCATTTTCTCCAGCCTTCCTACCTAAGAGCTTGTAGTAGAAAACAGGCAAGATTCAGAAGCAGATGACCTGCTCTGGACTCATGAATCTGCCTCTTTCTGTGTGAACTTGGACAAACTATCTAAATTCCAAGAGCTTCCAATCCCTCACTCTGTCATATCACATAATGAGAATGGTAGTCATGTTATTTTTACAGGCTGATGGTGAAGGTTATATTGCCCCACTGACTGGAAAAGTGGTTAGCACATTAACTGAAAGCGGAAAGGCCTGACCTCAGAGTGACTGAGAACTCACTCGGTAGTTATGTCTCCATTACCTTTCCCTCTTCACTGGAAAACGATCTTGCAGCTATGAAGTGCTAAACAAACAAGGCAGGGGTACAGTGGCCTATGACAAGACAGAAGGCATCTAGAGACCATACAGCCACTTCACATCAGCTCAGGTCTCAAAGATCCACTGCCTTGCTGTCCCATGGCCTTGGAGCTGTGATAGCAGAATCACCCTCTGTGATCAAGACAGCAGCCACCTGGGGACATTCAGAGTGGGAAGGCCCAGCAGCCTCACTTACAGAGCCTGAAGATAAGGAGCTACTGTCAAACTACGTTGCGTAACTGAGTCCCAAATTGTGGAGGCAGCAGCCCCTTGAGTTCTGCACTAGTAGTCACATGGGAAGGGAGAAGAAAGTCCAGCTCCTGGCACCACTGATAAAACACATCAAGACAAGGGTGAGGACAGGGCCTAGAAAATATTTCCTATTAGATTTGCTGAGGGAGTGGGAGGTATTTATCTGAGAAATGTATACAATGTAGTCTCCAGTCATTTAGTAGGCTAAGCTTAAAAGAAGGGACAGACTTATTCTGAGTTACTTCATAGGACAGAAATGAAACTAATTCATGGGAATTAGAGGGACCATGGAGGGAGATTTCAGCTCAGCATGAAGCATTTCCTATGGTCCAGTATGTCCAGTCAAGCTCTACCATGGTGGAACACATTGTTTGGCCAAGTGGGTGCCACATTGCTGGGAGGATTGTGTGGAGGCCCCATGCCTCATGCCACAGGCACTGTGTGAGTATGTGGGATGTGGGTTCAGTAGAGGCTGGAGGTTGGCTAATACTTGGCTCGGAGGAAAAATAAAGCCTATCATCCAAACTTTACATATTTAGTGTTTGGACCTCATCAACATGTTTAATGTCAAGGTCCTTTAGTCTCTTTGATCCCTGACAGCCAGTAACAGTCATGGCCACCAATTACTGTGATCATGCCAGGCATTTTAGATGAATTATTACTTTCCTGTTTTGCCTAATTATAGTCCAGTTTCATTCAAAATAGTGGTGGAGGAGTGGAGTGGAGAAAGCACGGGGTTCCCTATCCGATGGATTTGAATTTGCATCTCTGTTTTGCTCTTGTTAGCAGGGTAATTCCAGGAGAGTTTTTTAATCTTTTGGAGCCTCAGTTTTCTCAACTGTTAAATAGGGATACAAATATTTAGCCTATAATGTTCTAAAGCTTAGAGGAGATGCATACACTAAAAAGTAGAAATTCCGTGGTTTTTTTCCCTTTTCTCTCTGTCCATATCCGAGAGGAAATAGCAGCTCTGCACTTATGTTAACTGTTCCTGCACCCAACCCTAGGATATGTGTTTTAAGCAGTTTTTCTGGGGTTGCTGAACTTCAAATGCAGCCTGATTATATCTGGTACTCCATCACATTGTGTTTCTCCCTCTCCCCTGCTTTGCTATCTGGACCTTGGGTTCAAAATTGTGATGTTCTTAGACTTTATCTAGGCAAGTCGAAGGGCTGTTACTTTCACAAGGTCATGCAGCTTGCCCTTGGGAACCTTCCATTGGAGCCTATCCAGGCACTGGGACATCCTGACCCTGTGTAGCGTGAGCATTAGATCTTTTCTCCTGTCTGATGGCCATTTGTAGGACACACAGAGTAACACATTGATGTAGGAGTAGGAGAAACAAGTAAGAGTACAGGCATTTTCCTCAGTCTTGAATTCTCACAAACTCTGTCCAGGAAGAGATCACACTGAGGAACAGTTTTGTTCTTCTGGTTCCATGAAGAGAAATAGCAACACACAAACAGGCAAACAATTGAACCAACTTTAAAGAATAGGTCTACTTAGAAACTGTCACCGGAAATAAACATATGTGCATATCGTATCTTGTAGGTGCAGCAGGGTGACCCTAGCTGAGACTGAGCTGAATCTAGGGGAGCCCAGAGACCCCCCCCATTGCAATCCTTCACTATTGGACCACCTTCTTCAGTAGTCCCCATGGCTGGCCGGCATGGGGAGAATGGAGAGAAGAGAGACAGGGATCAGAGAGAACAGACTGGACCCTGCAACCAGCTCCAAGGACCAGTCAGAACCCTCATCCCCACCCTCCCAACAGAGAGAGAATGTGGGCAGAAGAGGAAGGGTCAATTTGAAAACAGTTTTGTATACCTGAGTGAGAAGTGTGGTTACTGTTACAAGGTTCTAAGAAAACAGAGTCTTCACGAAAACACATTCTCACCTTCTGTTGCTGAAAACAATGCATGGAACTTTGGTCCCCATCTCTCTGATCTGTTCTTTGATCCCCCCAGCAGCCTCTTTTCTCATTGTAATTTTGTTTTTTCTTTTGAGTCAGCCCTGATGATTATTTTAACCCAATTTCACTGGGTGAAAATACCATTGGGTAATAAGGAGGCCTCAGGGTGTGATTTTCTGTCTCCCTAGTTTATTTCTGACACATGGAGAAGCTGCTCTGCTCAGAACCTGGGAAGACGGGATAGTAAACAGAAAGGATCCCCCAAGCCTCTGTGTGCATACCCCAAACGTGCACAGGTGTGTGTACTTTTCTCAAGCACTAGCCACAAACTCAGCTGGATTGGGAAAGGAAAGATCAAAGATCAGGAATTCTGTGTCTCTGGAACCAATTACAGACTTAGCGTCCCAGGAAGGGGTGCTTGTGACCAGTGACTTACCAAAGAGCAGCGCAAGCAACCAGGTCAGCATGGTGCCTGTCCTGGTGGCCGGCAGGAGTGAGGGTCACACTGCAAGCTGAGGTGAAGCTGTGGGGAAAGCACTTCGGCCTGAGACTCAGGGTGAGTGGGTGGCCCTCTGACCGAGGCGTGTGTGTGTGTGTGTGTGTGTGTGTGTGTGTGTGTGTGTGTGTGATGGCTTGATAGTCTAATAGAGGAAGTGGGGAAGAAATTTGAAAAGCTCCAATTGGTATTTCCTATTGGTTGAAGTATATTGTATACATTTATTTTATTAAACAAGAGGTACAAAAGAGCCAGGTAAATCACTAATAAGCACTTTCTGACACTCTACAGTTTCAAAAACCTTACTCCAGGGAACCAGGATAGGACATGGCTGTGGGACATCCTTGTTAGAGAGATCCAGAGACTTCCAAAATTTGGTCTCAGCCTCTCTTGGCCCGGGAGATAGCATGGCACTGGAAACACTAAGATTGTGTACCCTACTCCACCTTGAGAGATCTGAGGCCCCTCCTTGCTGTATTAGGATCTGGGATGTCCCCCAAGGGCCCATGTGTTCAATACTTGGTTTCTGGCCTGTGGTGCTACTGGCAGGTAATGGGACCTTTCAAAGGGGGAGCCTTTTGGGGATGGGGCATCTCAGGTCTCTGGGTCTGTGCCCAAAGGGAGCTATGGGACCTTGGTCTCTTCCTTTGCTTCCCAGGTGCCACGAGGGAGTCAGTTTCGCCACTGTGTTCTCTACCAGGATGCGCTGCCTTGCTCCCCACAGGGCCCCAGATCCACACAACCACTTTGGAAAATGACCTGGCAGAATGTGGACACCTATAAAATATGGATACCAGATGACCCAGGATTTTTCTGAAAATTGGTTGAACAGAAACATGTATGATCATTAAAAACATGTACAAGAGCATTCATGGCAGCATTCTCTGCAATAGATAAAAATAGAAACTACTCAGTTGTCCCTCCCAGAAAAGGAAGTCACATATCTCCATTATCTCTGAGGACAGAACATAGAAAATGTAATTTTTTTTTTGGCGGTACTGCAGATTGAAATCAGGGTCTTCACACTGAGCTACATCCTGGGCCTTTTTAATTTTTTCTTATTTTGAGACAGGGTCTTGCTAAGTTGCTAAATTGCTACCCAGGTGGGGATCAAACCTGTGATCTTCCTGCTTCATCCTCCCAAAGTGCTGGGATTAAAGACTTGCACTAGAGTAGGGAAATTT